GTTTAACGAACGTTTCGGTACATAAGGAGCGTACTAAAAGCCAGCAGACACCTCACACCACTTGGGGTGGTCGTCGCACGAAGACTGCACGCAAACTTCAGGCGTCAAGCCATGGAGCCAAGGGATCCCTCACCGTAACGGCAAACTTGATGACTCGCTTTCCTGACCTTGTGTAATTGCGGAAAGAACGACTTTGCTAGACAAATAGGAAGATTCCTCTGGATGCTGATGGTCGGATAAGCATCCGCAGTAAGAGGAAGACTGGTGTCAAATCTCCAGTCGCTGCTCATACAACGGAAACCGACAACACCATCCAGTTCATTGAAACCACAGCTCTCGTCAGAAGTGGCTGCGTCACGAAGGGCTGTAGTCCAGCAGGAAGCGAAATTACCTCTTTCCCTGCATACACAGTGCTAAGACTTTACATGGTCAGACTGGCTAGTCAGGGGGGGAGTGTACAGGTGAACACACTGGAGTGATCCACTAAACACATGATCAACACTGGAGTCATGGGACCAAAGGACCCCTCAACGTAACGGAAAACGCCAGCACTCGCTTGCCTGACCTCGTGTAATTGCGGAAAGGGCGACTTTGTTGGACAAATCGGCAGATTCCTCTAGATGTTGGTGGTCGGATAGGCATCCGCGATAAGAGGAAGGGTGATCTTAACCTCCAGCCACTGCTCACAGAACGGAAATGGACAACACTATCCAGTCAACTGAAATCACAGTTCAGGTCAGAAGTGTCTGCGTTGTGAGTCGCGAAGGGTCCTAGCCCAGCAGGAAGCGGAATAACCTCCTTCTCCGCCATACACAGTGCTAAGACTTTACATGTTCAGAGTGACTATTTAGGCGAGGAGTGTACAGGTGAACACAGCTTCCAATAAAGGCAAAATTTCGAGTTCCAGGTGTATGCATGTGTGAAGATGAGGGGTCGAGCATCGGAAAATTTTGTTTATTGTCCTGAGCTCTTAAACTCGTGCAGGAGTTCATCTTCAGAGACAGTAGAAGCAAGAGAACAAGCGACAGTTATAGGGCATGTAGGTCAATCATTGACCGACGGCGCAAGACTGGAGGTGACTGCGCAGGGTCCTGTACGCCGGCGCCATATCGATAAATCGATCGACTGAGTTCTCATTTAGGACTTCCAATAGCAGTACTGGTGAGCTTAACTTTCTGGTAATCTTCACACCAATGACCAACAGTGGTGATTGAATCACAACGTTTGGCTTCCTAGATGTGACTGACAGGGCCATCGTCATGCTAATTACAAGCCTCCGCGATGATAGCGGAGGCTGCTAATTTTAGCAGGTACATGCTTAAATGACAGTCGTGTCCCCCAGATATTGCATCTCCGGAGGCCGTACAATTAGTGACCGATGTTGTAAAATACTAATCGATTTTAAAATTTGTTTCGATTAGGAAGGATTATTTAAGTGGGGCTATGAGACCTTTTATTTTGCGACGTATTCTCGTATATTAATTCAGGCGTGCTAACTTGTTGGCTTTTGAATGCACCTAGCTTCTGCTACCTGCAAAAACGGAGCCGATAAAAATGGACTATCTAGACAAGATGGCGTTTTTCCACCTATTTTCTATATTTTATGGAAAACCCCCGCAAAAACACTATTTCTTTTGCCCATTTGGTAAAAAAATCATGCTTTCTTCAAATTCTGTGCCTAAATAAAATGCGCCTTTGGTATTGAAAAATTTTTTTTCAATTCCTGACTGATTTTAAACTCGATTTGTCGTTGCATTTCCGTTAAGGCATTCAGTCCCCAACTTGTCTACGTTTCGCGTAAGGAAAAATTTACCTTCCCCAATGCCACTTAGAAAATAACATGTGGAGCTCATAAAAGTTTGCAACGGATGTGGACTAGGCTGCATACTCAGCGCGGAGTATAATTAAACAGACATATACGATGCTAAAGATGAAAGGCTTATTGGAAGAAATCGAGATGTATTAGTGAATTTTCGAGCTGGTGACACCAACCCGTCACCAGACGAAATAAACAAAGGAGAAAAGTGAAATGGTTGACGCGACAGGATAATCACTGATAGGCAAGCAACCGGTGTGCGAAAAGGGTGGGTACATAATTGCCATCACCGTATTATCTCGAAATGCACACTACTTCAGCTATTCAATATACGATGCTATCCGAATGTGTTTTGCATGGTCTTAAAAAATCTCATAGGTAGACTCTTTTTAAAACCGAAAGATACTCTTTCCTCAGGCAAAAAATTAAAGAAAAGGTGATTTTATACTGAATAAGTATAAGAAAGAATGCATTTGTGCATGTAAAATAATTATACGGGAACTGGTAATCTATAAAGAAGGCACCTGCTACTTAAGTAGTTATTTCTCGTTAAGTGTATTTTGCGGGCGACCGAAAAAAGTGCATTCAAAAAACCAGCACTGGCGTGTCACAGGATACTGACACGCCACATTGCAGAATATGTGTTATCTCATGAAATTTTAAGCGAAATTCTAAAATGTGACTTTGGTTTGAATCAACCACTTACAGTAGGCGGGCTAAATCATGAAGTGTCAACCGAAATTCCAAAATGCGTTTTCGTATCGAAAAGATTAATTAGGTAGGATTGTAAAACTAGCCAGCCTGAAACAAAATTCTATAATTTTTCAGTTACCTCAAGATGCCGGCTTTCGAACGAAATTATTTCCAGCTGAATGCAAAAACTACACTATGTAAAAACCGACTACTTAATTAGCAAGCATTTTTCTCATTGATTTTCGATACCGCCAAAAGTTCAATTATATTTCATGGAAATCATGCATAAAAATATTTATTCTTTCGCTCAATCGGTAAAAAATTACTTCTTATTCTAATGTTATGCTCGAAGGAGAGACATACATCGGTTTTCAAAAACCTTTCCGATTCCCGATTAACTTTAAACCCGCTCTGCCGTCACATTTGCCTTCAAGGTTTCCAAACTACAATAAATGTATTTTCCGCGTACGGAAAACCATACATTTCTCTACGGTGTTAAGAGAAGACCATGCAGGGTTTATAAAATTTAGCAGTGAATTTGAGCCATATTGCTGACTTTACAAGCCATATTAGTAAATGCAGAGACATGACGTTTTATGAATGGCCATTTCACGGTATTAGAAAATCCTTCAACTAGAAACTTTTTAAAACCCAATTATGCCCTTGTGTAGAGCATCAAATTAGAAAAAGACGTAATTATCTACCCAATGAGCAAAAGAATGAATATTTTTATGCATTTTTTCCATGTAATATAATTGGACTTTTAGGGGCATCGAAAAGCAGTGAGAAAAATTCATGTTAATAAAGTAGCCATTTTTTACAGAGTGTTGTTTTTACATGCAGTCGGAGGGGAGTTATTTCGAAAGCCGGCATCCTGTGGTAACTGAGTTATTATAGAATTATACTGCAGACTGATTAGTTTTACAACCCTGCTTAATTAATCTTTTCGAGACGAAAACTTATTTTGGAATTTTGGTTGATATTTCATAAGTTAGCCCACCTACTGTAACAATCTCACTTCCTGGACGAAAATGTATAGCAGAATTTCGCTAAACATTTCATAAAATCGGTAACTGACTGTTTTTTTCTTAAAATGTTGGCGCTTGCATCAGTGGCCTCGAGAACGTGTCCGAAAAAGCAGGTAAAAAAACGTTTCACTCCTTCTCTTTTGACTACTGAACGGGATATTTTCATTTTGTTTCCAAACCCCACCAGCGTTTTTGATCACCTAAAACTGATAAAATGCAGAGCTTGTCCATGGTCCTAATTAAGTCCAAACTACTAGAAAGCTCAAAAAACACTGCTCGTAATGTGATGAACCTACATTAGGCCAGACGATCGTGACGAAAACAAAACAGCCTCGCAAACACCTACTTAAACGCCGTTTGATGGACACGGCATCATTAGACCGGCATTATCTCAGCTGGTGGTCGTAAGTCAGCCCTCTTCACCTGTAAATGTTTTTGCTGCAAATAGTATCCGCGTGTACAAAACAGGTTCGTCCTCCGAACCTGACTTCTGGACGACGCCGTGTCAATCCGCAGAGGCGAGTTAACTGCAAAGTAAATACTGCCAAATCCTGTTTTTGTACAAGTGGCTAAGGATCATTTCCGTGGTTTATCTTAGGGCAATTTGTTGATCGTTCATTAATGTTTTTCAGGGCTTGTCCAGATAAAGAGGAGGGCTTGTAAGGCAAGCAACGTAGCCCGCCTGATGAGCCTTTACCTTTCTAGGTCCTGGCGTGCTCGCTTACAACATGAAATGGTGTGTTATTGCTGCAAATAAGCATACTTTCATCACGATCCTAAGGAGGACTACGCGATCATTAAATGACCTCCCAAATGTTCTGAAAACATTCGGGCATAAATCATCAAACCATTTTCTGGTGCGAAATGCGAAGCGGCTGGAAACGGCTGGCAGCTCAGTCTAATCCTGCCAGATCGTCCTGGAAAATTCCTGCATCTGACGGCCTTGAAACCGTACAGGCTAATCAGCTGTCCTCAACTCAGCAAACTTCACCGAAATTTGCCTTAAAGGCGGAGTCAGCTTTGGCGCCGGTGGAAATTAGCGCTTTTGACGCCAATTTATTGCCCCGAAAGTTCTAACTATGTAATCTGATTTCGATGTTTACTCCATCATTTTGTAAGAAAAAGTTAACTCAATAATAAGACCGAACCTGCTATTTCCGGACTTCGAAATTTGGCAAGCGATCAAGTAGTCGACAACCTTTGACAGGCTTTTTCTTTTCGCGTTTACTTACCTTTGGTATGGTGATAATTGAAATCATGCTAAAAAAATGCTACGGAAAGAAGACCTATGTGTCCTATATATAACGGCACACAGTTATTGCCCTTCATTGTGGAACAAAGCGTCACAAGTATTCCTAATTCCAACACACCAGGGTTGTCTTTATGCAACTTGTAAAGGTAATAAACTCAGTTCATATAAAATGAAGAAAGTGAGAACGCTGATGATCTTGTTGTCGTAGATCATGCTGCTGCCGCTGCTGAGGCGACGGGCCGTGGCGGCGTCAGATGAGGACAATAGTGGTGGTGGTGGTGGTGGTGGTGGTGGTGGTGGTGGTAGTAGTAGTAGTAGTGGTGGTGGTGGTGACCTGGAAATTAAAGTAGCGGGAGGATGAGGAGGGGAGGGGGAGGAGGAGGAGGAGGAGGAGGAGGAGGAGGAGGAGGAGCGGGAGATAGAGTATCAGGATTAGGATCAAAGTTAGGACACGGGATGCGAACCCTTTGAAGTTAAACAAAAGGCCACCTGTAGTGGTGGGTGGATGTCCACATTCCCGGTTCCTACCAACGAAAACTTAAAGCTAAATATCGCTCTGACAAAAAACTATCTGATTATTCCTGTAACCGTATAATTGAGCGCACATGGGAAAGTTACGTACCGGCAGCTGTTGTATAGGAAGCGTTATGTCGATGTACTTAGAATGTGCAAATTCCAACGATGAGAGCACCGTGGGATCGTCCCTCGAAACCGTGAAAGCGGACACTTTTAGCAGTAAGTTCGAAGAATGCCACATGAAGAAAGTCACCCGGGTTCTGCACTTTATGTGCGATACTACGACGATGGTATGAGATAAGTGGGAGTAGTACTAGACGAGCTGTTGTGAAACGTAGATGGTGCGCGTCCATGTTCTATAACTTATGCGGCGAAGTAAGCGAACAATGTGTTTCTATTATTAGCGTTCGCGGCAAAGATCCAAGGATCTTTCAAGAAGAAGGCATGGACAGGACAGTGCAGTAGCTTACACAATTTTGTACACGAAAACAAGGGATAAATTTTGTTTCGCCCAACAGTATTGTGTTCACTAGGTGGGGCTACCAAAGCACATCTTGCCATTTCGTCCTGTGGTAAGCCTAAATTTGTCCTGATAACCGCCGGTCCCTTGACCTACGCACCCTTCTATATGTTAGGGTTCCACTCTGTTCCTTTTTGGATTTTCTAAGTGACCCTTTTCGATGGTCAGACTGGATGTGCTGAAGTATGTCCTTGCTGTTTTGACAATGATTTTATGAACGATTTCAAATGGTTAGGTACTTTTTATTCGTTATCTACGTTTTACAAATATAGGTATGTCTGCAACTCAGAACTGCCGGTTCGGTCCAGGCTAACTGAACAGCAGACGTTTAGACGGGAATTTCGGAGGGGTTCTGATTGATATGCATATTCTGATGATGTGGTGATATTTGCGACGGACAGGATGATGAGGATGATGATGGTGGTGGTGGTGGTGGTGGTGGTGGTGGTGGTGGTGGTGGTGGTGGTGGTGGTGGTGTTGGTGGTGGTGCTGGTGGTGGTGCTGGTGGTGGTGCTGCTGCTGCTTATGATGATAATGGTGGCGGCGGCGGCGGCTGCGGCAGCGGCAGCGGCGATGAAAATGATAAATTTTATCTCCCGTCACTGTTCTTCCTGATTTAGTCGGAAGGTTTGAAAGCTACAGTGAGTGACCTATCTCATGAAATGTTGGCTGAAATTCCGAAATGCATATTGGAATAGGAAGGATTACTTGGTCGCGGTTGCAATACTGATTATCTTAAGGCATACTCTCATAACCTTTCGGACTCAGCAAGATGTCCGCTTTTAAATGTACTTCTTTTCAATCTCCTGTACAAAGCGTGCTCGGTAAAAAATGACTACTTAATTAGCACGCATTTTTCCCATTGATTTTCTATGGTCTTGGAAATTCAAATATATTTTATCGAAACCACAAACAAAAATATGTTTTCTTATGGTCCATCAATAGAGGATCACGTCTTCTTTATATTTTATACCTAAGTTAGGAGTATAATTAGGTTATAAAAAAGTTTCTAATTATGAGACTTTTTAAGACCGCTTAATGTCCATTCACATAGCATCGTACCTGGCCGTTTACCACTGCTCCTCATGAAATGTACGACATGGTCCGCATCCACTGAAAAATTTTATGGACTCTGTATGATATCTCTTTAATGGCATAAAAAAATATTTGATTTTCTTTACGCGGAACGCATGCACCTCGTAAAGGGAAATCACTAAGCGTTAATGCAACGAATGATCAGGCACCAAAAAACTCTTCAAAAGTTCCTTCAACGGAACCCTTGCTTATGTGGGCGCGCAGATCTGAGGAGTGTGCGTGAGATATGATTTGGAAGTATCCTTACCTATTGATGTAAAATTATGTAAAAGTAGTTTCTGCCAGTCCTAGATTCAAAAGTAGTTAGTTTCAAATAAAAAGCATAAATTTTGAAATGCTCCTAATTATCTAACTGATTATGTAATTTCGATTGGGATTATCCGAAGCCCTCGGAAGCGCACCCCGTGAGAACGCAATAGCTTACTGCGTATTGGCTGATGCGGGAGTAAATCTCGAATTCCTCAGACGAGATGCCATCACAATCTGATGTGTGTTTTAATTTCGTTTGAAGATTAATTCGTGAATTTCGGTGGAATTTCTTCTAATATATTCTTTTTTGGTGTGCGCTCATCAACTTTGTCTAACAAAAGGTGCTACCACTCCTTGTGTTTCACAAAACCCTGGAAGCACTTTTGGCTGGGAAGTATTAAGGGCTAGATCGCAGTTGGTAGCCAGGAGTGGGGAAGCGGACGCGACCTTAACCCTAATCTTAACCCTTAACCTAACTTCATCCTTAAACGTTAACCGCTAGCCCTAACGGCAACCCTTACCCTAACCCTCACCGAAACCGTAAACCTAACCGTAGCCCTTAGACAGCCGTCACTGGAAAACCTTACCGTAATACTAAAACCTAACCGTACGCTCAAACCCTAACCGTAACCCGAAAACCTAAGGCTAGAGGTATAACCCTAAGCCGAAAATCGGAAACCATTAACCGGTACCCTAATCCTAACCTCAAACGTAAAACGGAAGCCAAATGGGTCAAATATAATTATGGAGTCCCACAAAATAGTCCCAGTAAGCAAACCCTTCCGCCACCTGTAATACGGATCCTGGCTACCAACTGCAATCTAGCTGCACTTTTTATGGTCAAACACAGCAAATTGGGGGAATTTACGCCCGTCTAAAACCTCTCAATTGTGCCCACTTAAAAGAGCTGTGTCTTTGTCCTACCGGTCAGGTCATACTACTTAAAAGAACTATAAACGAGGGAGGGGGAAGAGACCGGAGTGGTCGTTTCTGTCTCACTGTCTATCGTCAATCAGCTAAACATAACCCCGGGTCTGGTTGACCTCGTATCCGGACCCGGATTCCTTGATCACTGGTCGATGAGAAGTGTGCGTATAGGAGGCTCGATTAACCTTTAACACGAACCAGGCACCCGATGTTTGTCTCCATGGCATCCAGCCAGCATTTGGCGGCACGCCTAGGTGTGACTTCGGCCACGTCAGTCATCTACGCCCTCCCCCCCATCCGGTCTCCCGGACCCTTTCTTGACACCAGATCCATGTGGGGAATGGGAAGAGAGAGTGCGGTAGATGCTACGCAAGTCCGCTGTCACTTTACCTCACGTGCAAGTCACCGTGTTTGCTGCACACTGCTATGGAGCACACGGTGGACATCGTCGAAATCGACGCTCGAACTATCGAGCCAGTCTTTGTGCCATCGGCATGCAACGGTCAGAACTTCTTTGGCAGCCTTAGCGTGTTCTAATTACTCCCGAAATCTCCATTTTCCATATTACGCATATTCTCTAGCTTGTTGTGCCCGCTTTAAACGTCGCCAGCGGTAGGTTTTTCGACTTCGTAAAAGTGCCGGGCCCTTTATGTTTGCGTCATAATTCCGTTATAGCGAATTCGATGTAATGGTCTGCTTAGGAGTGCCCACACCACATCGCCGCGCAATCTATATATACGTGTTTACGCCTGTTAGTCCCCGGTTAAGTAAAACAAATAACATCGAACAAGATTATTACTGCGTTTAACGATATAAAAAGTTACAGCTTTGCTAGATAGGATTGAGGAAGAGCAAGGTACTTCTTGATTAATGAGAATAGTGCACTTTTACATACTTGACTCGACCTGATTTTCATGGACTAACAATCACAATTTCCGTTTCCAGAGTGACCTCCTTTTATATTTCTCTGTGTTGCATAAAAGTTTCTCTATAATTCAACGCGTGCAAATAAGAGGTTTTAATGGGGGATAGTTATTAGAATAAGAAATTAAGTGGATATCCGAAGATGTCAAAATTTTCCAAATTTTGATCTGTTTCCCTGAATAAAACTGAACTAACATGAATTGTTCTGTAGAAAAGGGCTTTTTGGTATTCTAATCAATTCCAAACACCAAAATAACTACACCATGTATATGCCGTCCCCTCAACGCAAATAGCGGTCTTGACATTCCATCTACCGTACACCGCTTCGATCCCTCATTCCTCTTAAATGTACTCTCATTAACCTGTCAGTTATGCAAGTCTGAGCTTTGTTCTTTCGGCAAGCCGTCACAAACTAAACCCTGTCTCTAAACCTTTCTCCCATTAACGCATACATCACGAATGAACACGCCCGATATCACACGCCAAAGGCCCGAAATAGGCACCTCTCTTGCAAGTGGGAAGTGTGCTCTTCGCTCATTCCCCATGTGATTTTTCTCCTGCACGTGAGATCCAAGCGGCCCAGTCCCTTTGCGTGAAATTCTGGTGTGTGTGTGTGTGTGTGCGTGTGTGTGTGTGTGTGCGTGTGTGTGTGTGTGTGCCTCCCACGCAAGTGGGAAGTGTGCATCTCGACTCGGTCCCCATGCGGCTTCGGCTGCACGGGTGACTTGTGTCCGAGACTATCCCGACACTTCAAGTGTCGTGGATAGGAAGGTTGCTGATTGAGGCCCGCTCTCGGTTCACGCAGTTCGTCACGTTGTGTGTGTGTGTTGTGTGTAGTGGCGGACTGGTGGGCTGGGGATGGGCTGAAGCAGCACCTTCCACGGCCCTCTCACGCAAGTGGGAGACACGCCGTTCAACCCCCGTTGTGTGAAATCCTGGTGTTTGTGTGTATGGGGGGCCAGGTCGTGCTGTGGCGCGCGCAGGCATGGTCAGTCGACCATGTCAGCCACCGCGCCCATTCCCCACTCCAGTCTACTGACCGGCTAGGACAGTGGCTGGGGTGTGGGAATGGGAAGGGAGAGTGAGGTCGACGACTCAGCGCATTTTCCTCACTATAATCAATCTGACGCGCTTGAAGCTATCACGGTGCGCTAAAAGCCGTGGCTTGGAAGGTTGCCAACTGACGGGGTACCTTGGACCTCCTCCTTAACGGTAGGCGGCCTGAGAGTCAGGCTGCAATGGCTCCTTTTTAATGTGGCCTTTATGGCATTCCCACCACAGCGTGGGATCCGAGCCAGGCGTTGGCGGCACGCCTAGGTGCGGCTTCGGCCGTGCCAGCCTCCAAATCTCTGTTTTGTTGGTTTAAATCCTGGTCTTGGTGTGTGGAGCAGGGGTGCGGAGTGGAGCGCCAAGGCGAAGACCCGTCCGAGCCATCCACCTGCGGCCTCCCCCGTCTCCGGTCTTCTTGACTCTGTCTTGACACCGGGCCCAGGCGGGGGAGGAGGAGAGAGTGTAGGTAGATGCTACGCAAGTCTACTGGCACTATAAACCCCTGCGTAAGTCACCGTCCCTGCTCCCACAATGCAGTCTGTGGGGCATACGGTGGTCATCGTCGAAATCGACGGACGAACTGTCGTGTGTGTGTGTGCGTGTGTTTGCCCGCTGAGCGGGCCACGTGTTAGATGGGCTGAGCCAACATGGGGACCACATCGGATTCTGGCGGGCATTATCTTTGCGGAATAACAAATGCCAACATCTAGGGGGTGCGCTGGCAGACTTTGTTATCGACAGTCGTCGCAAAACTGGGCCCACTGTCACGCCCTCCATTGTTTTGGCGGTCAAAATCCTGGTCATTTGATGTGTGCACCAGGGGCTGTGGAGTGGAACGCCACGGTGAGGATCCGTCCGATCCATCCACCTGCGACCTCCCTCGTCCTCGGTCTTCTTGACTCTGTCTTGACCCCGGGCTCAGACGGGGGAGGAGGAGAGAGTGAGGTAAATGCAGCGAAAGTCTACTAGTACTGCAAACTCCTGCGCAAGTCACCGTCCCTGCTCTCACCATCTTCCGTGGGGCATACGGTGGACATCGTCGGATGCGACGGTCAAACTATCGTATGTGTGTGAAGTGCAAACGGGTTGTTTTTAGTTCTGTTTGCGCGTTGGACGGTCAACTGGTTGACTGAGAGTCAGACTGCAATGCCTATCTCTTAATGTGACCTTTATGGCATTTCCACTCAGTGGGGAACGCAGTCGCCCCCGTCCCTCTATTTCTTGCTAGGTGCGAAATGCAGGAGGATGAAGCGACACGCCCAGTCACGGGTTGATGCCGCGCCAGTATTCTTGACTCTGTCGTGACACCCGTTTCTGGGTGGGTGAGAGCGCGGCAAATTCTGCCCAATTCTGTTTTCACTATAAAATTGACATA